TCATTGTCCGAAGCAATTTAAGCTTGTCGGTGTGTGTCTTTATTCACTTTCTTGGACAAGCTACACGACGCAAGCTTCGAGATATTAGTAGTAGCAGTATTAGTAGCAGAAGTTAGTGAGAGAGTGTTAAGGCGGTGTTAAACGCTTAAATGAGGCAAGTTTTTGAATCTTTTGCCATATAATCGTTCCTACGAAAAGCAAGAATTTTTGTAGCAGGGAACTTTAATACCTCTCTTTGAGAAGAATTAATTCATAGCATTAAGTTTTCATAAGTGATTTGTAACAACTTTGCCATATACGTTATTTTCTGGAACCCATTCCACATAAAATTTTCTAGAAAAAGTAAATCTTTATATATTTACCCCATTATAATGAAAATAGAATAATAAGGCATTTGAGTACATCAGAGCCACTTCAGGTATGGCTTAAGACGCTCTCCCGTATATACGGGCTCATATTATAGAAGTATGCCTTGATATGAAGATAATGTGTAATGCTTGGCATTTTATTATGATAATAAATAAATTCTAATAATCCATAGGTAAGGTACTGAATAGCGGCCATTGCTTGAATGTAATCTTTACTGGTTTTTAATTACTAATTTAATTGCTCTATTTTTCCCTTCTATTCATGTCAAATCAATTTTATATCCCATTCGCGATGGGTAAAAAGAGCCAATCACAACAAGTCAAGTAACAATTAGCAAAGCATATATATTGGCGAAGAGCAATTAATTTAACTTCTTGTTAAAGGTGTCAATTAAAAAAAATCTTTTTTTAGTAAACTTTTCATAAAAACAACCAAAACAAATTAAAAGTGGGTGTACGAAAATCACAAATTGTGAAAAGTATATGAAAAAATGAAAGAACGTTTTCGCATCAGCATCACCTCGACGTCATGTCAGTTGATAGAGTAAAATTACAAATTTAAAATACTTAAGAAGCTAGTAGTGAACAAAATTACCAAAAAATATTGTCTGTCGATATATAAGCGTTATATTAGGCATTAGAAGAAACCTTAAGAAAACAATATAACGAGCAAAAGGAACTAAAGTTGAATATTAACTCCGTGCGGGTCTTCTGGGGAGATCGGTAATGATCATTTTTAAATCGAAATTTCGATATCGATATAGGAGCTGTTTGTTTTGAAAGTGGGGCGTGCAGTTCTGTTTTTTGATAAGGGAGAATATTGATAGATTTGCATTTCAATAAATTTAATACTCATAGATGCATAGACACATGCATTTTGTAATTTTGCGGTATTAGATAAGGAAAGCTTATTATCGAATAATGTTTACAGTGTTGGCTAAAAAAAAATGTAACTTTTATTACACCTAATTTATAGACTGGGTTTAGCATCAGAATGAATGATATGGTGGTAGTCGTTAACTAAAGGGATAAATAATTCAATTGTGTCAACCTTTTTTCAATATTTAAAAGTCAGAACATAATAACGGGCTGTGGTCTACCATCACATACCTTACATCACTTCCCTTAAGAGGAGAAACGACTGCAATATTTTGGGGATAGAAGGAAAGGTAGTAAAATAATAATTTTTGAGGAGATTATGAACCGTAGCTCAAGGTAAAAGAAAAGAGAATTATTTCGGAAAAATATTAAAAATTGGCAACACTGCAGCCAGCTATTCTCTAGGGGCAATTTGGTGGAAGCATAGAAAGGTGTAGAACTGCTCTTGGCCTCCTATCTATTTGAGGATTGCCTCGATGAAGCTACACAAATATATATATCTTTTTTGGAAATGCTCTTAAATGTAAGCTACTTTTCAAAACAGGAAAGCCAAAAAAAAAACTATATATATATATGTATATATATTAGTATATATATGCACTTTATATTTATCCTGCTGAACAATGCAAAGAGTTTAATGACGCTTCGTTCATTTTGCGAAATTGAAAATAATTGCAATAAAAAAATTTATAGATTAAAATCATAATTGTTAGCTACGTAGTTATGCACTAATTGAAAAGTCGACTGAAAAAGCACCAGTCTGTCAAATTATTCCCTCAATTAACTAATAAAATGAAAGAAATTTAACCGAACATAATGCTGTGTACAATGCTTTGCTGCACAAGCTCACCTCAAACGGACTTTGTCAATAAACTAATAATATTTTTATTGAAACCATAAAACTATTTTACCACGAAAATAAACAAATTGCAATAAATCTAAAAATGTGCAAAAAACCGAATGCTTATCCAACACACCACAGCCAATGAGTATATTAGTTTCACTCTAGAACTTGATACGTGCTTTCAGAAGTACGCATCTAAAATAAATATGTATGTTTTTGATATATATATATACATATATATATATCTATCCGAGTTTTACTTAAAGAAATTTCTGTGTTATACTATATATATATATATATATATATATATTTTCTTCCAAATCTCACGCTTTTACATGTGGCACTTATGGTGACCACAGGTCACAGATTTCGTTCGTTTCTTTTTTCGAAAGATTAGAAAAAAAAAGGAGAGAATTGAACATAAAGTTCCAATGTGAAGGGAGTAAACTATTTTTGGCAACAACTGACAGCTGAATATGAAGATACAGGAAAAAGTTGAGCCAAAACGCTAGAGCCTTAAAAGGTCAAGAAATGGAAAATTGTCGAAGAGCAAGCAATATCGAAATGAACAATATATTTTGTTGTTGTTCTACAATCTCTTTCTACTAAAAACACCGCTTCCAAGAATTCTCTCAAGAAGCTTTTGCCGATTTTTTGCGGCTTTCCGCTTTTCAATCGATAGAGGAAGATTGACAAAAAAAATCCCCATGTCATTTCGAATATTGCTCGCAAAGCGTCCAATTCACTTAAATCAAAAAAAAAAAAAAAAAACCGATGGAACGTAAAGTTCTCCTTATAATGTTAAAGCAACATAGGTTCTAAACGGGACACCCTTAAGCAACGTTTTTATGCAAAAATTCAAGGTGTAACGAGTATCCCGTAGTCGTTGCAAAGCGTATATAATTTTCATATTTGTTTATAAACGTTTCCGGCAGAAATGAGCATAAAACCCCTGGAAAAGCAGATGTGACCAAATACGTAAAAAACAATCAACAAACAAAAGCTATCAAAAACATATATAAAAACGTATAAAATTTATAAAAAAAATTTTTTATGGCTTTGCTTTTCTCGGAAAAAAAAAGGCATTCAAAACCAAAAAGCAATATAGAAATGTGATAATAAAGTTAACCTGAAATAATAAATGAGGCGTTTATTTGAAAAATGGTTCAAGTCGATTTTTCAAATGTTTAAAAAAAAAAAAAGAAGTCACCTGTTATTATCTTACATTATGTTTCCATTTTCAACTGTATTATTAGTAAACAATCTTTTCATTGTGTGATTAATGGTTCACGCCAACGCGGGAAAACCACTGCAAATTTTCTTTATACTTTCTACCTTGCATGCTTCCATGCAAGCTACCGTGTATTTGCTCTTCTTGTAATCTTACACCTGCGCGTGTCAAAACAATCTCCGCTTGCAAGTTGATTTTCAACTCCTCGCATACCTTAAGAGATGTCTTTAGAAAGAACTTATGTTTATTCAAGAGCTTTTTCTAAACAAAAATAGTTTAGTTTGTGCACTTTCGTACACAAGATATTTGCATGGATACGACGAGGATCAGGATGATTCTGTTAAGCAAACAAAAATTTAGTTTGTAATTTTTCGAATCGGCTATGGGTTCGATAGCTTCGAATTAGCGTCTTCTTCGCTTCACGTAAGATTTGAAATTTGAGATTCCAGATGAGATGTTGGGTAGATGCAGCTAAACACATTTTTTTGACATGTTAATTGCAATTTTAGGCATTAGCATAAGGAGTTACCTGGGAACTGATCCAAAAATTAGCCTAATACGAGTCCTTTCTAATAATGATCCCCCTTGCTTGAAGGCATCCCATCGGTGAATCAAATTTCATCAAAATATCTCAAACATAACGATCTCTGTAGATTGAAACACATGAAAACAAGACTGACAGACAAGCTTGTATAGAGATGAAATTGACTTTGAATAGATCAGTTCAATAAAGGCAGATGTGTTCTGTCTCAAGTTCTTCCGAGTATTGCGTACATTCGCACAAACTTAATTGTACACGTTTAGCATAAGTGATGCAGGTTTATGTGGTCGAAAATTGGAATTTCGTCAAGCACGCAAAACTCAAGCTTCCTACGTACTTCCCTAGCTATAAGGCTATGTACGTTGAATGAAGCGATTTTCGATTTTATTTATTTTTTTTTTTAGATTCGAAATTGCTGCAGTTACACTGCATTCCGCTGAGGCCTTTAGAAAATGTGTTGGCAAAAAAAAAAGGTTTTCTTTAAATACGTTAGAGAGCTTCTCCTCTTTGGGAACGTTACGCTTTCACTGACTGAGTGGCCAGTTACTTCATATTTTTTTTTTTTTTTTTTTTTTTGTGAAGAATCATTTGCCGAATATAATTGTTAAATTATGGTTCAATCGAAAACTAATTTTTTGAAATAATTCAAAAAATAAGAGAAAATTGGTTCTATGTGATGTAAATGATGTCTCTACACAACTAACCCAAGTATTGCTTTATACTTTAAAATTCGCAAAATGGCCGAAGAGAGGGGGAGAAAGAGAGATGGAGAGAGAGAGCAGGAAGGCAAGCAAAAATATATTATAATTATAAATATACTATAAATATATTTTCCAAAAGAAAAAAAAAAGAAGAATATATGTCACTTTCAAAGTGAACGGCTTTAAAACCCATACACACAAAAGGCTTATGGTTATATCAGCTGCACTTGCAGTAAGCTGTTAGCAACCGACATCATATTATTCTGTGGTCCAATCTTACTTTCTTTATTGATCTACATTTATATATATATATGTATATATATATATATATATATATATATATATATATATGTATATATATTTATCTATATATACGCATTTACTGCGGTGTGGTGTGTTTCTTAAATTCATTTTTGTTATTCGTTTTCTTTTTCAGGTCCTGAAGGCTGCAATCTATTCATATATCATTTGCCGCAGGAATTTACTGACACAGATTTGGCATCAACTTTCCTGCCATTTGGAAATGTAATTTCCGCTAAAGTCTTTATCGATAAACAGACAAACTTGTCCAAATGCTTTGGATTCGTGTCATTTGACAATCCAGAATCGGCGCAGGTAGCCATTAAAGCAATGAATGGATTTCAAGTGGGCACCAAACGTTTAAAAGTTCAACTAAAGAAACCGAAAGACGCCTCAAAACCATACTAAAACAAAAAAGGAGGGAAGGAAGGCAAAGAAAAGAACAACAACAACAACAACAACAACAACAACAAGTACTAATCACCCACCAAGATAATATAAAACTAAGAAAAAAAATAGAAAACAGAAAACTATGCTGCTGTGTATTCGAAAAAAAAAAGAGAAAAAAAGAAGTAATGTGAGAGAGAAGAAAGGAAGCAAGCTAATGTCAACATCACATACCATAGTAAAAAGGAGAAAAATGCTTTGGAAAGATGGACCAAAAGCCTTTACGGAAACGTTAATGTGTAACGAATTGCTATGAATTTTTTTGGATTAAGCGTAAAGCATGCCAAGGTCCCCTAGACATGAATGAACAATGAATGAATGAAGTTTTCCAATCTCTCGGGAAACGGAGGTAGGCAGCCATTACCAAATGTGTTACTCTCTCTACCATTGGATATCATCCAAAATGATGCTTAGTAGTTATTTTGTTCTTTTTCTTCTTTTTTTTTTTTTTTTTTTTTTTTTGATTTTATTTTTACAACATTTTTTGTGTTTAGTTACAAAAGAAAAGCAACAGAAAGAAAAAAAAAAAAAACTTTTGCTTTTTATACTCGTAATGAAGTTTATATATGAATTTATTATTAAATGTTTGAAGTTCTCTCGCGTATATGTTTTATATATAAACGCATATCTTTATATAATATGTAGGTAGGATCGCAGAAAATAGCGTAACTTACTTTCTTTGGTTTTTGCTTATATTAAAATTTTAAGTTTATTTTAAGCATATTTTCGGTTTTGTTGCGCTAATCTTTTCTTCATTGTTTTTAATTAATTGTTTAATCACGTGAATATACATACATATATGCCTTGAATTTTAGGCATTCTAAGTTTGACATCATCCTACTTTACCTACATTCTCATTTCTATATATATATATATATTTTTTTTTTTTTCTTTCATTTTTTAAATCAATTTTAACATGTTATCATCACCGTTTAGCGAATGTTTGAATACAAAGCGCTATAGCATCATCATATCCTTTACATGTATAAATACCGATATATTATTTTAAAAAGAAAAAACAAAAAAAAAAAAAAAAAAAACAATGTGAATTTTTTGTCGTTACACTTAATCGATATTTCTCTCGTAAGAGTAGTACAATGTATCTGGCGATCATCTTATTATTGTCTCTCTCTATGTTGCAATGAATTTTGAAAACACGATTGAAGAGACTTCAAAACTGAATGTCACAGAAAAGTAAACGTTTTATGTTAAGCGTTCTTTGTAAACAATGAGAAAAATAAAGATCACACTTATATGAATTTTCTTATCACATCTCGTTGCACGCTTGAAATTTTATAACTGTAACTATATATGTCTTTATTTTTTATAATAATTTTTATAAATTTTAAAAAATAAAAAAAGAAAAAAAACTTTTTTTTATATACACATATATTGTATTTAAGTTTAAATTTTCGTTTCTTTGTTTATTATTATTATCAAGAAATCCTTATATTTACTACGAATGTTTTATTTTATTGAATTGTTTCATATTATCAAACGTACTCACGCTTACGTATAAATATTACACACAATTGCTTTATGTAATAAATTAACCAAAAAGAAATCTCATTACGCTTCTCTTTCTTTTCCATGCTTGCTTGGTTTTCACCTCTACCAATATACATACATGTACTTGAACGAAAAAGAGAAGATTGAAATTTCTTTTTTTGGTCGATTCGATATTTTTGCTTAGAAGGACATCTGAATTAATGCTTCTTTTCTTTGTATAATTGTTTATCATATATATATATATTTATATATATTATATAATATTCACATACACGTGCGCGTACACATGAACACACAAACATCTATACTATTACATCAATAAAATTATTGTTCTTTGTTCTTTATAAAAACAAAAAAAAAAAATAATAAAAAAAAATTGTAGTTTACTCCTTTATTGTACACACCGTCGATTATGTATCCGCTTTATCAAGAATGAAAATTAAATCTCTCGCTTCTTCATGCTCAGCTTCTGGAAATATCAGATAGGTTAACTTCATTCTTGGCCACGTTTAAATGTCAGGTTGTTTTCGTCCCTCATCATCTTTCATTTGAGTTCAAGTTTTCTTCGAGAATTAAAGGCCAAATTCGAATTCCTCTTCAGAAAAAACGCTTATGCCGAGAGAGTTCGACAAACAAGTCAATCTAGTTCAAACTTGCGACATGCCAACCGGCTTGAAGTTTTTTTTTTTTTTTGCTTTCTAAGAACGTCTAGCAAAATTGGATTTCATACAACTCTGCAAAATCGTTTCAAGCCCCAAATAGCCGATTTTCATCTGGCAATATTAAGATCAAAAGACGTTTTCTCTTTAACACCATTTTCGAAATAAGATGTTATATGGAAAGTGGACACACAAAGGTATACGGTCTAATTGTCACAGCGTTCGTCTCGAATCAAAATTAATCAAGGTCATAAGCTTACGATCTTTAGGTTACAGAATTTACTGTCGTCACGGTATTACCCGAATAGGATGCTAGATGGCTCTGTCAAGTCAATGTTTAGTACTAGCTTTCATATTATTGGCAACATTGTAATACTATCAAATCTGATATCAGAGCACAATGTAAAGTAAATATCCTACAAGTTAATGTTTTCATTTGCAGTTTGTTGATCAAAATTGTTTTTATTTACAAAATTGGTCGGAAGACCGCCCTTAAGAGAATTTCAGATGTCTAAAAGCGACCCTTTAGCTTCTTAGCTATATATAGTAGAAAAAGTAAGACTAATGAGAAAATTCAATACATTGTCTAAAGCGAATGTGGCAAAGAAATATTATTTTGATAAGAAAACTATATGCTCGTTAAGGTTTAGATAGATAATTTCTTTATTCAGTAACTTATTTGCCTTTTCTCTAACTGTTTTTTTAGACATTGGTTCTTTTCGTAAGCCAGGCTGTGGATATCTTCTTGGCGCACTAACACGTGGTTTTTCTTTTACTTTATTTACCTAAAATATCTTTTTCAATTTTGCATTCTTCACCCAAATATTTCCCGAATTAGGTCTAATCAAGTTTTGTCCGTCCGTCTGTCTGTGTGATGTGCGCCCATGCATTCTTACTTTAAACCTAAGAGAGGCAATTTTTAAGATATTTTGACGGAATATTTATGTTCTATCGGAAATGGATTGGGACAGGCGATTTTTTCTCGACTCGCCATATAAACGCTTATTTCAAAAAAACTCAATATATGAAAAAAATTTGCAATTTTCAAAATTTGTAGAAAAAAATTGCATATCATAATAACATTTTGGCATAGTGATGTGATGTGAAAAATTTGGTTCGGATAGGACAACATTTTGACTCTCCTTTAACTCCCATAAAAACGGTCCTAGGAAAAACTAAACATTCACATGACAATAAGGTCTACACTTTTATATTTAATGATCAGATTCGGCAGTAGCAATTTGGCAAGATATTAGCTGTGCGGTATTTGGTCTATGTAAGTCAATCCTTTGGAGCGCATGAAAGGGTTCTCATGAAAACTAAGTCCTTAAATGCTCAAAAAGTATCCTGTTTTTATATTCTATGATTAAAGATGATCAAGAGTAGAAGATCTCGCTCAAAAATTAATTACACCGAACTTGGATCACCTACACCAATTTAGTGAACTGCACATCATCATGAAAAGCGCATCTTTACAAGAAATTAAAGTACAGTTTTCGTAGTATGTTATGAAAGATGAATAAAATATTGGATTATATGAAGTTGTATAGGATATTTAATGGTCGGCGTTCCCCGCCTATAATGTTCTCACTTGTTTCACATTAAAGCGTTAATTATTAAGTTTTCTAAAATATATTGCTATGCCTGTAATCGTTTCTTTTCCATCATATTATTCATCGTGTAAAGGATAATGTGAAACAATAGGAAAATAGCTTTTCCGGCATACTCAGAGGGCTAATCTCGGACCAAACTATCCGCTTTTCATGAGTCGGTTCTTTGTTTTAAGTGAAATACAACTTGTCTATGCATAGACCTTTAATTTATTCAATACTTTTTCGAAATAATCTCCGATACTTATTTGTTTTGGAATTGAACATTTTCTCGAGTCTCTAGATATAACATTTTTTCACTCTCCGTTCTTATGAGAGAAGGTACTCTACTCTACTTGCTATCTTAAGTTCAAAAATTAAATGATTTAAACTGTCCTTACTCAATCTTACAACGAAATTATTTACAACATTTCAAGGCAGTATTTTTTCTTCTTCATTTTTTGCTTTATCAATCACTTCCTTTTGATAATTTGGGAGAAAAAATATGGCAAATGAATTCCCTTAAAATTAATTACGCAAAAACTTTTTACTGATAAAGAAGAAAAGAAGAAAAAAGTTAATCTTAATGAATTGTTAGAGAAAAGTAAAAAACGTACAAAGCAAAGAAATGAATGTTTAGCTTTTTTTAGTTCTACTCTCAGAATTCCTTGCAATTATCACTTTCAATATATCTATCCTTATCCGTTCCTTTTCGAATATAAAGATAATGGATGTAGGCATTGCATAGTGTTTCTGCGTAGATCGATGAGCTTTTAGGATGCCCTATGTGTAAAGGGTTAGTTAAGCCTTCAACCACACTAAGAGAATATCTTTCGTTACCTTAAAAATTCTTCTTATTTTTTTCTAAACGTCTCGGCTGACACCATTGCATTTAGCATCTGTTCTATACTATTCGGCATTCTGTATAAAGAATGCAGATAAGGTTATAATTAAATAGGAATCAATTAATTATCAATTTTAAAATGGAACTAGTGATAATTACTGAACACAAAATTATCTGCGATTTTAATGCCAGCTTAGCTGTTTTGATCGTTTAACTCTTTGGAGCACCTCGAAACAATTCCTATTGCATTGGTAGGACGCGTTGCAATTTTTTTTTTTTTTTTTAATTAAATGCACTCTATCTCACTCACAGTAATGCCGGCTTTTCAAATAAATTCTTTTCTCAATATGTTTTATGCACTTCCCAGCATAAAGAAACCGATTTTTTTATATGTAATATCTTGGTTTTTACTGATGTAATGAAGCAAATATATATGTCTACTTTTTTTCTGTGATATGCCCGCTGTAGATTTAATGTTCCATAGCTTTTTCTACGACCACTCGTCAGTTTGACAGGTAAAGTGTGTCACAGGCGCAACAGACAATAGGCATTTGAAATTTGATACAAATATTCCTTGATCGGTTAAGAATATTAGATTAAAAAATGGGACCAAAGCGTTGAGAGACACACCTGTAAAGTAGAAAAAAAAAAACAACCTATGAAAACATTAACAATTTTTTCATATTTTCGCCTTTAGCTTTCGAGTCCGTGAAGATATTTATAAAAAAACTGCTCTCCAACTACATTTTTGGGGCAAAAGTTTCTCCGATCGGTACACTATTCCACACGTCCACAGATTCGAAATTGTTTTGGTTTCTTCTGCCTTGGGGACGTATTTGTAAACATATTATGATCCTTTTTTAACCTCATATTCTTAACCGGTCGAGGAGTAGGCGTGCAAAATTTCAGCCTTCTGTCTTCCTTTTTGCGACTGTGACGATGCACAAAACTTACCCGTCAAATTGGCGGGTTTCCAAAATTCTAATGCTAGCAGAGCATTTTAATATTTTTAATTCAAGAGTTCTTCGAGAACTCTGTATATCTTAAGCTTACGCTATGTGGTAATGTCGCGTTGCAGCCACGATGTCTACACTGCTTCTACTGCTACACCTAGTTCGAGTGATGTGGAGAGATTTTTGCGCCTAAGCTATGGTATAATGTAGTGGTTTAGTACGCGAAGAACCTTTCGATAGGAAAATATGTGGATATGCTTATTATTCCTCCAATGCGCTTTCCCAGGGCCACAGAAAGTCAGAATATATTTGAAATTGGATTTCTTTTGCTTTTTCAGTACATCGCTTGAAATTCTTTATATTCGCAATACCTGTTAAAGGGAAGAAGCGGCCATGCAGGTGACTTAGTCCCAAACGCCTAAATATAAGCATACGCTAACCGTGTCGCATGCTGCCCGACGCTTAGATAACCATTCAATTATAGTTAACCTTATCGGTACTTGCCTGCTGCTGCACTCATGTACAAAATTTTCGTGACATTCGATATTGAATTGAATGAATTAAATTAATAAATTCAGAATGATGTTAACAATTTGTCTTGAATGACCGGCAATTAGTTAGCTAATGGATATTTAATATTCATTTTAAAAATTTTGCACAATTACTCGCAAAGTATCTTAAATATCATTACAACACAACATTCCATACCTCTGCAATATCTTATCTCTTTTGCTGCTTTGGTATCAAACTGAAGAAAAAATTTGCAATTTGTTTGCCAAGATTTCAGATTAAACAGGGAGAAGGCAAAAATAAAAAGGAAATTCACTGTTAATTTGAACTTTTGGAATCCTTTGTTGCACTGTTTATTTTATGCGAATTTTTTATTCTCGTCATATACATATTTTCGAATGTTTGTCTTTGCGTTTTTTTTTTTTTTTTTGGTGGTTTTTTGTGTTGTTTTTTGTCTCTCCCTCTTTTAGTTTCTTTATTTCTTACAGCTTTTGATATGCAAAAGTAGTGTTTCATCATTTATTCATAGAATATAAGGCTTTTACTGCTCGGTCTTTAATTTAAATTCATTATTGTAAATTGAAAAATGCTTGAGCATCATCTCTCGCTGTTTTATTTTAGTTTTTAATTTTTCACATTTTGTTTTTTCTTTTCTTTTTTTTCGCAACCCTTTATGAAATTACAATATAAGAACCAAGTAACGAAAGGATTTTTTCTCTACCGACTACCTACCGATGGATGTATACTAATTATGTTATCCAGTTTAAAACATTTTTCAAGAATCTCATAAAGAGTACAGGATTATAGTGCAAACTGTTACCAAGTTCCATCAACACCTGTAATTGAATGAAAAAGGTAGGATATCTAAATATGTGATTGGTGTGGAACCATAGCATAGAGTGTTCGTAAAGGATTCACTTGGAAATAGTTTTAAAAAAAGTTAATTACGTTAGAAAAATGCGATTATGATATTTTTTTATTAATACAGCAATGCCATGGGTTTTGAAGTTAATTGGGGGCAGTGTTCATTGAACTTTTAGTTTCTTATTGAAATTCTCGGATCTACATAGAGAGTGATTTTTCTATTTACATAAGCTAAAAATGTGAGAACAGTAGCTCTGAACTGATCTTCTCGAGTTTGAATACCAATTTATTCCAACTTCCTTCATTTAAAAGCTTCGAAATTTTGATTCAACATATTAGTGACGTACCAGCAATATAAGGTTAGTTTGCTAGCGTGCGTCCGTACGTTTATATCTCTCTGGAACACATATGACGAGCGGTAAGCTCCGAGTTGGTACGTTGGTTAACTAACTATTGCCAATAGATACCGTTTAAACTGGGATTACGTTTTCATTCGCTATTATAGAGCTTGATACAAGCTTATGAATTTGTATGCTTTAATACACTAACTTTAGCTAATGATCAAATTATATTAGTAGCCTTAGGAAACATTCATTAAGTGAACACAAAATCTAATGCTGAACTCCTGTCGGTCGTTCACTTGAATGGACACAATTGCGTAGCTCCTATATGAAGATCCAATTTCTAATCTTTATTCTAAAGAATGATTTAAAAGACTTTTTTTTGGTCAACGTGACTGATAGTTAGAATGTGGCCATCGGCTATAGGTTAACAGTCAAAGTGTCTAACTTGCCATTGAAGTATCAAAAGGAAAGTTGACCTTACCACAGTATTGCAAGAAATTCCATCGGATACCCCCAGCCAGAATAGTTGAAAACTGACATAATTTGAATAAATAGAAAACATTTTGCAAGTTAGTGGAGTGATTATCAAGTCTGAGTCCATTGTACTACCGATCTCAGCAGAAATATAACCACATTTTTCATGTTATTATATTACATAAGGCAGGTGTTTAAAATTCGTTCCAAGGCAAATACACTTTTCTTATTCCGTTTCCATTTTCTTTCTTTTCTATTTTTTTTTTTTTGTTTTTTTCATTATTATTTCAGTCTTTCATTTGTGCGAAGAATACAATAAAACAAGGAGGACTCTTATGAGAACAAAGACGTTTCCACTTTTTTTCCTTTTCTTCATTTTAGTCTAAATTGTAAACTAAAAGGTAAATAATAAAATGTACATAAAGACGTAAAAGCTCCTTACATATAATTGAACAATTAAAACTCAAAATTTTATTTAATTAAAATGTTCTGCTTTCTTTTCTTTTCTTATTTTTCCACTTTTTACTTTAAAATAATTAGTAATTGTATTTTTCTTTTCATTTCTTTTTTTTGGTCTTTTTGTGTTTCTCTTTTTTATTGTCTTCTTTTTCAGATAAAAATTGTTTTTCGTAAAATAATAATTTTTAGCTTTCATGCCGTTTGGAAGTTTTAGCTGTAAATATCCGTAAAGATCTGGTTATCCTTTTTCATCATTTTTTTTTTTTTTTTTTTTTATTTTATATTCAAATATCATTTCCGTCAATTGGTCCAATTGATCTAATTTTTAATAATCATCGACGAAGAGATATGTAAAGAATTGTCAGCTTTTGTAAATTGTTGTAAAAAAAAAAAAAACAAATAGTTGAATGAATATTCTTTTTATTTATTATATTATTGAATATAATGTTTTAAATCAAACATGATAGATAATAAATTAATAACGTGATTATATGAAGATAAAAACAAAACACGTATAGCATAAAGCATTTATTTATCTCTTCTCACTGTGCGCTGCAGTCAATGTAAGTGAATTTGCATTGGAAGATAGAAAAAACAATTACATAAATAAAAAAAAAAGCGTTTATCCTATGAATAGTGATTTTCTATAGCAAGAATTTTTATACTAAATTCTATATAAAAAATCCAAAAAAATCGGTTTTATTGTTAAAAGTAATGCTTACCTTTAAAAATGTACTACTACAGCCACTTAACGATGGCTTAGACAAATTTTTCTTGTAGGCTCCAAATCGAGTCTCGGAAGCCCGAACGCGCTTACGGTGAAATTAGAGGCAAATTTCTTTTAATTAATTGCGATAATTAAAAAAGACAGAAAAACAAATTTTGCCAAATCGAAATGGTGGTGTGTTTTGATATTCATGCCTTTCAAGAAAATATGTGCTTTATGGGATTTCATTTGCCTACTTTTAGGCAATGCAAATATTTAATAAACCAATTTACCTTTTAGGCGGTTGAAAAACAAATTAAGGAAAACACTTTTTATTTGATGCTTGTTCTAACAACGTCATAATTACTAGATTTTCATGCACAGTAAGGATGTTGCTGCAGGAGTGGATTACAGGTAGCCTTGCTATAATATTAACTAAGTACACTTGAAGCTACACTTGAATGCAATCACGTTCACACATACCAATCTTCGATTAGCGCATAATATACTCTTGTTTCCATTCGTAGAGTAAGCAGTGTGGCATTATAAGTATGAGGCAGCATTAAACTGCACTGTAAGATTGTGGCCGTGTATATGTGACCCAGTAATTAGAGCTATATAAAGAGGACGCTCTTTCAATTATTTTCTTAAAATTTCACACAATGGTACAAATTATAATGCTTAAGTGCACGGAATATAAATTTAGGATTGTTTTAAATTGTAGTACCATAGAACGTTAGGGTAAAAAACGACGGTTCCAAAGGGCAAATAGCCATGATGACGATTAAGCAAACCTTTAAAGCCGAGGACAAAGCTGAATATTCAACACGCGGCATCTTAGACAAGTAATTTTTTTTTTCCGAATTGGGTGAGATCTGTAAATAACACACTATACGGGGCGAAATATCTTCATGGACTTGAAAATTGCACTGCAGTAAATGGACAAATATTTGGATTTTCAAACACAACAATTTCTTAAGATTAGCACAATGTAAAGCAGTAAATATTAGGTACGGGGTCACTCCATTCCCGATGTTTTACAATAAGTAAAAATTACAGCTTTTGAAAAATTTAGTAAATTATGTGATACGTTTGAAGTAATTATGTGCATCATTCTTTTTCCTACTTATATATAAAAAAAAAAAAGACAAACAACCATTTACCTGATTGTCTAGGTTATTGGTTGAAAATGAAAGTTTCTTTCTTATCGAAGACTACTTACAACACACTTTGTCAAGCAGGTACTCAAAGGCTTAGCGTACGATTCTACACAATATAAGCTAAGGGTAAAGCTAATAGAAGAATTAAGAGATAAGAGTGAAATTTTGCCTTATGCAATCATGGCCGCCGATCAAGTTTGAGGATAGATGAAGTGCTGTTGCAAACCGGTAATGTAACATGTACTGTGATCAAAAAATAAGCCCAACTTATTTTTTTCTTCTTTCTATCTATTTACTCTTCCAAATCAACTCCATCGCCGTTTATCGCCTTCAAAAACAGTTTGAGCTGGTGCAAAGTAACACGATAATCGAAAAAAGTTGTTAACTTGATTTTGATTATTGAGCAAAGTTGGGACTATTTTACCTTGGCTCATATTTTGCATGATATACGCTCGATTGCTCTGTTGTCTCCGAGTCATAAGTGTAGAACCAAATCTGAAGCACCGTAATAATGCTTTTCATGCCCATTGTGCAACTTCTTTGCTCAACAAAATCGTAGAATTTTCATGTCGTATAAAACCAAGTACAACTGAAGCCCTGATTACGTTCACGATTTTACATAGATTGCTTCCAATTTAGAAAAAATATACTCCTGATATTCGATATATCCGCACAATTTAACTTGAATATTGATAGTATGTTTTGATCTTGATAATTCCAATACTCAGAAATGCAAAACACAATTTTGACCAACATATGATATAATGAAATTGCAAGTTTTGGAAATGTAAGCCACAATGTCGGACAATGTCCGAGCAGTCTAATTTGGTGTTTTGGACGTTTCAGAGCATATTTTCGTACAACTATTTTTTTATATTTCCAGAGCACACTAAGAAGATGAATGTTTACCATATTTTCGGATAACCATAATGCAATTCTTGGGTACTTGGGATTTTAAAAATATAGTAAATAAATATTCAATTATTAAAAAATAAATAAATAAAAGAGAAGAATTGGAAGCCGAGCTTCTACGACTTGTCTAAGTGAGTGACTGCAAATATATTGAGAACTCTAAAAGCACATAATTTCAATTTCCTTCTAAAATTATCTCAACCTTGAGCATTAACTTTCTCGCAAACATATTTTTGCACTGCTTTGAACATGAATGCAAATTTTATATGTATACTTAGCTCACTTATGTTCAAATTACTTGTAGATAAGAAATAACTAAAAAGTTATATAAATATAGAAAAAAAGTAGAAAAAGCCATTGTAAATTTTTCATGTAATTATAAAAAAAGTTTTTAAACAAAGCAAGGCTGTGTGTTCTAATATAAAATGAAAATAAATAAGAATATAAATAAAATTTAAGAGAAAAAAATATATATATAAATAAATGTAATAATGTACAGCTTGTTGTAAGTTTGGTGACTAAAATGTATGTGTAAAATAATAAAATCACAAGTTCACATAAAACTAGTTACTAAATTAAGAAGAATTTAATAAAAAATAAATAAATAAATGAATAAAGATAAAAATATATTAAATAAAAATTATTATAAATAATAAGAGGACAACTTACTGATAAATCTTTTTTTAGCAACATGCCACATATATTGTGCACATTGTAACATAAGGCTAAACACAAATACAAATGTTAGAGCTAAAGAAAAAAAAAAAAGAAAAAATTTTAACAACAAGAACATACAACATAAGAAAATTATAAATAATGTAAAATCGTGTTAAAAGTAAAAATAAAAAAAAAAAGAAAATTATTATAGAAATAAATAATAAAGTGTCATGAAAATTTTTAAGAAAATTTATACAACCGTCTTCACAGTTGTTTTTTATAGAAATTTATATACATATATATATATATATATACATTTTTGTTTTTGCCTTTGCAACGTATACTGCAGGGGTACTACGTTTTTATTGCCTACTTTATGGCGTATTAGAAAAGTTAAAGTTAATTGTGCAGCGTTTTAAATAAATGTCAAGCGTACGTGACATACATAGAAAATAGATGCGTTTACCTTTCCCTTCCTAACCTTTTGCATCTTTTCTTTTACATTTCCTCCTTACCGTATTCGTCCCGTCTCTCTTCTGTCCCACGCCCTATAAATCATAGAAATCACGCTTCTTCCACAACTCTATTCATTTCTAACATTCCTTTAGTTTTAAATCAAAAATAGATATCGAGGTTAGGAATCTTTTCAATGTATTCTCGCGTGTATATAGGTGTGCGCTTACATGTACATGTAAGGTCTTGTATTTATGCATTTGTTTCAGTGGGTGATGAGTTGTTGCGTTTACGCATCGAAACTTGTATACACCCCGCGTTCGCATACTACATACGATTTGAAAACTTTGCAAAACATTGCAGCAATGCTTGACTTGATATATTGCCAACGGATACGTTGCCGTTCTTATGATTGCATGCGCATACCTATGCATACATGTTCGTGTATTTAGTTATGTTGCGAGTGTTTTTTCGCTATGCTACTCATATTTCTTAAATGATTTATGTTCGTGATTATTGGCATTTGTAAAGCTTTATGTCAGTGGGTATTGAGTTTAATCACTTGGGTTTGCTGCATATATATATATATATATATATATATATATATGTGTGTGTGTGTTTGCGTACACGACGTTTTTGGCATTTCAAAACGGTTTTATAAAGGACATATGAAGTAACAAGGAAGCATGTGAATGTTTGCGAATCGTGTGCATTGTATTCTAGAGACAATTATTTTCTCATGAGATGAAAGAAAGAGCAGGGGAAAATTTTCTTTAAATTAAAGTGAATTTAAAACTGACAAGAGACATTTTAAAATCGTTAGGAAAAATCGTTTTCAAAAACTATAATATTTTCACACCTTTTTCTCTTTTTCACACGGCTTTCATGCGTTTGCAAGATGCAGTAATGCTTCAAGCGTGCCTAACTTACCGTAGAATATTGGAAGCAATTTTTAACTTTCAACCTTCAGCGCAGACGGATAGGTGAATAGAGGAGCCGAAGAGACAATTGAGTATGAAAGGATTCCGAATCCTACTATAATTAAAGATATAAAATTCATATTGAATCTCGGAGACCGCAATTTTGGTATCAAAACTGGAAGAAATAACAGCACCTATCACCTACACGTAATGAACACGCAAGTTGTCTGCATGATCAATGCATCTAGAATAAATGAAAATGTACAAAGTAAAAGGTCTGCAACTTTTGAATAAATATTGAGTCGGCTTTAAAAAGAAAAGACACGTCAGGAAAGCCATTGAGTAGTATAACGCAGGTACATATTTATTCAGAACACTTACACCACAACGAATATCGCGACATTATATCCCCACGATATTGTGCAACATTTACGACATCTAACTTTTACCTTTCATTAAAGCGAATCATCAATCCTGCATCTAATTAACAAATCCATGCCCAGGTTTTACTGCTTCTTTGTTGGTGTTACGTTGTCCCTTATATGGCTGCTACAGTTAGGCGAGGATCAATCCCAAAAAGAGCTTGCG